CCATTGACATGTTCACCTATAACCAAGTACTTTTCAGAGTACTATTCTCGTCACTTCGGGATATAGAGGATCTTCATGCAAAAGCAAAAGAGACAGGTGATCTCCACTATGTCATTGACAACACGTTCGCCTCGTTATCAACCGAGAATTGCTCGAATGGAGTGGCCGTCTGCGTTCACAACGCTTTGGATGCGGCTTATTCAAGGCACCAGGTAAAGCCACCTGTATGAACTTTTTTTCTTCAGTCTTCGGGTCACCATTAGGGCTGATGTGATCACATAAAGACGATGCGTGATGGTCGTATGGGCGGAAACCTATAACCATTGCCTGTTCCCTTACGCCTATTTTTAGCTTTTTAGGAAAAAGGGGCGTACTCTTGCTGGACAGTGGTCATAATTCTACACCCAGTCTTACATTCGTCCATACGATTATCACATGTGTCTCCAAAGGCAGTTGGCACGATAAATCCCTAGCACGGTATTTTCCCCACTGTATAGCACCCTGCTAGCATTTTAGACCGCGTACCAAATTATCGTGCCATATGCCTTGAACGGCGCCGCTACCCTACGCGTGGTTCGGATCAAATTATCTGAGGGGACACGATTGAAAACAGTGGACACGATGGCTGGGGCGAGCGCTTGGTGCCAACGTCTTTGGTGGAAGGGCGGAATGGAGTGTGGCCAGACACCCTCTCGCAGACCTTCCACATGTGACGTTGGCGGTAATCGCCCACCCATTGTGCCAACTGCCTTCCGAGGTGAATGAGGTATTCGATCGCTATCGTATCGGGTCTTTACGACCGTAAAGAAAGCACAGTTTCAGAGAGTATGAAACTACTCTATCGAATGCAAGGGGGGGGGTCTACAACCACCAACGGATTTTTGAAGAAACTGAGAAAAAGGTCGACTTGAAAAGAATCGGATCTGGGAATCGCTAAAGGGCCCTGCAGATGATATCATCGCAAGTCGGTCAGGAGGGGATGAAGGTGCATGGCATGGACCCACTAGCGGGATTTTGACCGCTGCTTTTTTTCCTAAATCGATCACTAGAGGTAGAAAGGGAGCCGAAGGCGGGCTCAATCTGCTCCTCCTGACACACCCCGAATGACTGCGATGAAATGAACTATGCGTCTGATAGCGACATTGCCATTGATGCACTTACCACCACCCTAGTCCGATTAAAAGAAAGCAATTAAATTTTTTATTTATTTTGAAGGATTTTCCATGGAGGGCCATGCCAGAGGTAAGCTGCATGAAGAGGTTGCAGATTACAGAATTGATTGTGGTTGTGTTCTCAGTTTTCACGATGTAGAGACGGGATCAAGAAATTACAAAGGAAGTACAGGAACTTCAAACAACTCGCTGGGTTTAAGGCTTCTTCGAGACGGTTTTAATATGTCGTAACGGAAATTTTAGAAGTGTTTTTGAAAAGTGGGGCTGTCTAGGCCGATGGAGTGCTATTTTACTACGGTTGAAACGCTTTGGCACGTAATGGTTGACTTTCCTGAGGTTCAGAGCAGAAAGAAACGGCATCACTTGTGAATGATGCTCAAGATCACCTCTCTCTGGGGTGCCGGAAATATGGCCTCGCTCAAAAACAACTTTCGGATGATGTCAGGCCCTAATCTCCAAAAAAGGGGTGAATTCAACGTAGCTGTGTAACTTCATACTTGTTTGCACTAACCGTCCATAGTGACTAGTGTAGTGTACTGAATGAGCCAAATACGCAGTCCACGCTGTTAGTATGGGCGGAGTCGGGACAACATGGTGTCCCCGTCCTAACCACCTTCTCAAAGGGATTTGTGTGCGCTGTAAATAAGGTTACGCCATGCTTGTCCGACGTTTTCACTGTATTCGCCATTTATCGGCGTGTAGACTATGGTTTCTACTTACTTTATGAAATCCCATATCTTTTCAGGCTGACTCCTTCACTCCCTATTGGCAGTTCTCCAATGCAGACAGCAGCCGATTAGCGTCTCGATTTGATGCTGAGACAGCTAATTTACTCACTTTCATGCAGGTAAGCCTACAAATTCGTCGGAGAGCAGTGTTCTTTTGTGGGTTATGGGTTATGTCACAGAAAAGTACAAGCTTGCCAAGAAAGTATTAGAGTTTGAGACGTTACCAATTAATCCCATGGGTTCCATAAGAGTTTCCTTGTGAAAAATGCTGTCCATTCAGGGCCATCAGTAGCTTTATCGTTAAAATGTTACAGTAATCCTAGCGTTTTTCAGTTGACCCTACCTGGAGCGCTTTCACTTTACTACGGGCAAGAATTAGGTTTGGCGAATGTGGGTAATCCGCCAAGTCCTCGTGGTGTGATGCAGTGGACACCATCCGGTAAAGATCATCACGGATTCCTCTCGTCAAGCGAGTCAAACATCGGAAAACTGTTCTTCGCTGAGAGCGACAGTACCGACGAGCAGGACAACTTCGAGGTAAAGATTCTGAAGGTGTTTTACTTTTCGGCGCAGTTCGACATAGAGAGGGGGGCATTTTGCACTTTCATTACTTTCCATTGTCGTGTCTCGTCATCAAGTAGAAATTTGTGAAATCTTGTGAAGCCATGAAGTGATACCAGTCAAGGTTTCTATACTTGTAAGCTTATCTGATGAATATATCTCAACTTGTAAAACAAAGATCATGACAATGGGACAAAGCAAAATGCCCCTCCCCCTCCTCAAGCCAAACTGCTCCCGTTTTTCTTCTCCTGTCTTTACATTATTTTATGAGATATGGGTGTAAGCAAGGGACCATTGTGTCTTTTGCACCTCCCTGTCCAAGACAGTGAAGGGGAAAGGGACGCCAAGGGTCAGTTAGTGCCTATAGAATCTTCACGGACAGGCCCTTCTTGAAATAGTCGTTGGCTGATTCCCTAACATATTTTTTTCTTGCTCTCTCTTGTGAGTCTAGCAAAATTCTATTTTTTTCCAGACCCAGTATGCTCAAGAAAACTCTCCGCTCAAAGTTTATCAGAAGTTGGCAAAGTATCGTCAACGTGATGAAGCGCTGATTGTTGGCAGCACAGTACGACATGCACTGGAAGGCGATGTGGTCATCTACTCGCGATACGTGAAAGGAGAAAATGGTACTTCAGTTGGATCTGTGAGTTCGTTGCAATAGTCGCTATTTAGCCTTTACTGCCTCGGTCTTAGAAAAAGGCCAGACTATGATTGAGCTTTTCTTCTGGGGTAGATTCAGCCAAATCTTGGCCCCGGGGGGCAATGACTCACTGAAAACAAA